TATTTTATTATTATTATAATAAGTAAAACCACGTTGTTGTTATTGTTGTTGTTGCTTTAACTATGTAATCCTGATACTGTTTCTGGCAATGTGGGTGGTTGGAGGGTGCCATTGGAAGGTCTTCCTTCCATTCTCTTCCTCTGTTGTTGACGTCAATCAGTCTTGCTTTTTCCAAAGCACTATATGGCTGTTATTGTGTCGATGCACCTATCTTTACTAGAACAAACTAATTCTGCTATTTTGTTTCTAAAAGTTCGCATTAGTCAAATCATGTGAATGGTAGAGGTGTGCCGAACATGTTACATGTTTGTGAATTATTTTGTCGAGTTATTCACTTTCTAAATGTTGAAAAAGGTAAGAGAACCTACATAATATTTAATATAGTTGACGTGTTATGACCCACTAGGCCTAACGGTCGCCAGCTGTTGTTCACCATTCTGCCATACCCGGGCCAGTCCGTGTCTCAATGTTGTCCGTCCATGTTACTCTATGCCTTCACCTGGCTCTCTTGCCCCGCATGCTCCCTTCAATGACCCCTTTTACAATGTCTTTTGATATGACCAAAATAATGAATTTTTCTACTTTTCATTCTTTTAAAGTAGAGTTTGTCATAACATAATGTTGGGATACTTGCTAAAGTAATGGACTGGGGTTTTTTTTTTTCTCTCTCTCTCTCTCTTTCTGGACGTAAAGCGGTTGAACATCTGATCCACGAAAATCTTGTAAAATACTTATTTAAAAAAAAGACTTACGAGCATCAAATGTACACATAGTCAACAAGTGATATATCACAATAATTGATGATATCAAAATCAAAGATAGCGTTTCCTGCTTTTATGTCTGTTTCAGATAGACACGATTGTTTCTCTTTCAGTCCACTAGTGGACAGTTTGGTCATTTTGGCGGGCGGTGGCGATCATCCAGGTAGTGACAAGTATTGTTTAATGCCCCGCTTGGATAGACATGTAGGTGGGGGGATACAAAAATTGCTACGTCTGAATTACAAAGTTCTATCTTCTCAATACCTCTACTTTTGACAAATTTGGGAATTTTGAGTTTCACAACATGTCAAGCTTTTTCGAATGCAATTCTTTGAATATCTTGATTTTGATAGAGCAGATAAAACATTTTGTTTCAGGCCTCATGGTCTCAGTAACTCAAAATGGCAAAGAATGTCAGAGAACTTTGTAATTCTCAGATAGCGCAATGTAATCTCTTAAAAGTGGCTAAAGGCGGCGCTCACTATGACATGGTAACAAGCTCTGCTCTAGGTTACAATCACTGGGGACCAGCGATAACGGGCTGTTTGTCTGTGCGGGTGTATCATTGTGTGTTAGGACAGTCTGGCAAATCGTTTTATGTACGCATTACGTGTTGTCTATTTATCTATGCATGGATATCACTGTAAATCAAATTTCCCCACTAGAGCCAATATATAAAATTACAAATTTAGAATATTCGAACAAAGACAACAGGGTTATCTGACAATACAATTTCGTTTCGTTGCTTCATTCCTTCTTTAAAATTTGAAAAAAAAACGAGTACTCAAATCATTGCTCAAATTTTGGGTGCCCCTTTTTTTATTCTTCTCAAAGCTTAAAAAACAAACCCCAACAAACAAACAAATGAAGCTGACGCCATGCCATATTCTATCTCGACATGTCCAAAAACTACTGTGATAACAGGATGCTTAGAATAAAGCAAGGAGCCTTGTGTTTAACCCACATTAATTTCTGACCCTTATGTATCAGGCAAAAAATAATTGATTATTGTGCAGCCATCGTCTTTCATAAATAACAATGTAGCTATGTACAGCAACAAAATTATAAAAATCTTTCTGAGTTCACAAAATCTGTACTAAACAATGAAAGACATTAACATTGTTTTATGTAAAGGATATGTGTATAGTATATCAACATCATAATATTATAAACATAAATATTACGAATCACGACACTGTGGAATCAGGCGCTCTTCAGTTCTCCGGGCATAATATGGAGTTACCTGTTTCATCTCAACACTTGTTAGCTCGTCCTGATTTTGATGAAAACTTAATAAGACTTATCTATCGTTAATAGAAGTCGAGATAAAAGTTGCGATTGAGGGAAGTGGGGGTCGCTTGGTGTCAAAGGGAAAATCAGCGCTGCAGTTGATTTCACGGCAGTTTGGTAACTTCCAAAACTCGAATCTCTTTGGAAACTGCAAACTTTCTTCTTTCGTTCATTTGAGCAATAATTTTAACAAATCAAAGCCCACTCAATAATGTATTTTAGATGTTGAACCTCTCCCAAAAAAAATCCTAACGAACAGTGACCAAATGTATCTCAATTTCTTCGATGAAGCCGAGCGCCTAATTTCACCATGATGCCATAATAGTAATATGATTGATAAACTGTGTTAGCTCCAATCACAATCAAACATAAGAATATTATGTCATACTAGAATATCCCAAGCTATGAGGTCAAAAAGGGGAGAAATCAACCGTCGGGGTTTTTTTTTCTTCTGATTCCATGAACGATGCTTTTGGTTTCGTTTCACTTGATGCAGTTTATTCTTCTTTCTTCTTCTCGTTCCCCTGTTAGACATCAGGAGTATTCGGCTGCTTGTTCTTCAGCCCTCAGTGCAACTGATTCTTACGAATGCTGCTGGGGTTTTTCTGCTTCGTAGGACCCCTCCCCCCTCACCCCTACCCCACACACACATTTCGTGTAATAATAACCAACTTTTTTTCCAATGCACGTGCATTGTATATTTCCCTTCTTATTCACTTCTAAAGTGTGTGTGAGATTTGATATAACATACTACTCAATTTTTGCTGCCCGTTTTCATATTTTTCATGTTTTCACTCCTTACGATATTAACGTTTCCATTTTTTGGTCAAACATTGCCTTTTTATTGAAGGGAAGAGGGGATAGTCTTTGACAATACTATTGACTCAATTTGTCAAATGTCCGAACAATGTCTGAGTCTGATTGGCACTGACACAATTTAATGAAATAATTAATCTTCAAACGTGATGGGAAAACAAATGCCAACATTTTGTACCACACTTCAAAGTTATCCTATTTTAAAATGACCCATATTTGTGTTGAGTCTCCGATTATTTTTCTTCAAATATGGAAAGAAACGACAGAAAAACAACGCATATATTGAAAGGTGGGTTTGTACATAACATTTTCTCTTCAACCAGGGAAAGAAGAGCCCCCCCAAAAAAAAAGACGCACACATAAGCATATTGATTTTTCGAGATTTACATGATAATGCACGTGTTCTTCAAACAGGGAAAGAAACGACAGAAGATGACAGATAAGCGAGGCACACATAAGAATATAGATCCATGGGTTTCTACATGACAGTGCACTTTTTCTTCAAACAGGGACAGAAACAACAGAAAACGACAGAAAAACGACAGAAAACGACAGAAAAACGACAGAAAACGACGAAAGAAAAGACACACAAGAATATTGATATGTTGGGATCTACATGACAAAGCACTTGTTCTTCAAATAGGGAAAGAAACGACAGAAAACGACAGAAACACGACAGAAAACGACAAACAAACGACGCAAACATAAGAATATAGACCCATGGGTTTCCACATGACTATGCACTTTTTCTTCAAACAGGGAAAGAAACGACAGAAAATGACAGAAAAATGACGCACACATAAGAACTTTGACCCGTGGGTATCTACATAACGATGCACTTTTTCTTCAAACAGGGAAAGAAACGACAGAAAATGACAGAAAAACGACGCACACATAAGAACTTTGACCCGTGGGTATCTACATAACGATGCACTTTTTCTTCAAACAGGGAAAGAAACGACAGAAAATGACAGA